CTTGAGTTTACAGTGCCCTTCGGAATCTCTGCGGCTTTCGTGAGCACGACAAGTTGTTTTGTAGTGCATCTGTCCCTAATCGCTGCCCTGGACATCCCCCCCCCTTTCGGCGCGTAGCAAGGTCCCGCTTACCCCCTCCAGCGGCCTCGTCCCCCTGTACACCTCCCTCTGCTCCGCCACTACCGGCCCCTCCACCCGCCCGTCCCTTTGTGTTGACCTGTGCGTTTAGCTGTTGCCGTAAACCAAGCGCGGCCTTCGTGAACTTGAGGGAAGTATTTTCCGTTACACTCTTCGCGTAGTCACCCACTCGCACGTCAAGGATCTTCCCGACTTCGAAAAGAAACATATCCTGGGATACACAAGGGTCGATGGCGGGAGGACCAGGTGGACAGCAGTTTCCCCACGTTCCCTCCACGACCTCCGCCTCGCTTACAACTTTGAAAATCTGGGCTGGTAAGTCCCCAAGGCCAGCAGCAAGGAAGATAAGGTTTTTCAGAAAATGGAAGATGCCCCTCTCCACGGCATACACAAACTCTACCCAATCCATCGTCGGGTAAAGAAGTCCGGGACCGTTCTTCAGGTCGTTCTTGTGATCGACTCCCGCTACGAAATCTCTCAGCATGACATTAGTAAACATCGCCTCCCGACTGGACCGGCGAGTGTTGTGTTGGACGACACGCACCCAATCCTGGGAAAGATTGTGTCTTGCTTGATGCGTCAAAGCCTTGCTGGTCGCCCACCCGGCGATGTCGTACAGGACTTGCCCGCGCGGTCTTGAGATCTGATATCTTTCACTGGGGTACGAGAGCTCCGCGGCCACGGAATTCTTACGCTCTTTCACGTACACCTTGTACAACTCCTGCATTAACGAGAGGGGATGGGGGGCGGTTCGAAGAGAGGACCGCGAGCACGGGGAGAGTACCTCAGCTACATGGCCGTGAAATACAAGTGAAATAAAAAAATTNTACAACTCCTGCATTAACGAGAGGGGATGGGGGGCGGTTCGAAGAGAGGACCGCGAGCACGGGGAGAGTACCTCAGCTACATGGCCGTGAAATACAAGTGAAATAAAAAAATTGGAAAGGTTAACTCTAAACCTAAGCGCCAAGGGTGGTTGTTGCTCCAACACACCACCTTTCCAGAATCAAACACACGACGCGCTCTCTCAAACCTCGAATCATCGCTGGAACGTACACATGGAGAGTGGAAGTTTGACTTCTTCACACACGGGTGCGGAAATGACACACAACAAACCCTTCGACATCCTGCCTCATCGTCACGGAGACGGCCGCGGACAAACCCACAACAATGATGCGGGTGAAAAGTTTGTTCCAACTAGGCCCTCAATGCGATGGTGATGATAGGCTCAAGAAAACAACAAATGCTGGTCTGACTATGCGAGTTCACGCCAACTGGAAGCATTGGCTGATACCATGTCTGGAATTGCGAGCAGGCAACGATATGCACAGCCGTTCTCACCGAAATATCACCGAATCCTCTGGCGGCTTCATGCATCTCACGGACTGCATCCTTGTCGCGCTCCGCCTCTTCGTCCGAATCCTCCACGTCGCCGTCATCCTCCTCCTCGTCGGAGTCCTCTCGGCGTACTTGCACCCAACAGCATTCGAAACACAACAAGGAAAATATTAGACTCCGACGCAATCTGCTCTCTTTTGGACGGTCTGGAGCGTTCACCTTTCTTCGCGGCAATGTCGTCGGAATATGAACAGGGCGACACACCGATCGTTCGTAACGAATGGAGTAACACACAGGAGAACAAACAAGGGATGACACGACTACAAAGGTATTCACTGCTGCGACTAATGTGACCCTAACAGCCAAGAGGCTTCAACTTACTCTTGCGCGCTGGATACATCTCACGATGTGTTCCTGCATCATCGCTGTCCTCTTTCTCCTCGCCGGTCGCCTTCCCAGTGTGCGAGACATGAGGGCACAAAGCGTTACGAACGGCGCGATGACATGACGACAACTGCTGTCGTGTAGACGAGTCTATACGTCGATGGCCACAGTGCAGTGCTGGGTATTGAGAGATGGACACACGTGGGGAACAAGGCTTAACAGAGAATGAATACGGAGAGCAACAAGCATTGTGTCATGCATAGCAACACCACGATTGACACCACCCAAACTTTCCGCGATAAATTCTCACCGTGAAATGCCTCGTAATAATCCTGACTGGTGACGAGGTTTCTCCTTCGTTGCCCTCGCCGAAAATGACGTTTCGCATCCATTCCATCCCGGCGCACCTCTGGGGGGGGGCAAGGGGAAAGAGAGACAAAACAAAAAAAATAAGCCGCTGTTTGATGTAAGACTATATATTTTTTGTTGGAGACGACATGGGTCTGCTGCGCTTCTGCACCTTACGAGAGCCTACATAACTATTTCCACACTAATCGTGACGCCGTCGCCAAACCGTAAATAGGAACCACTGTACCAGGAACAGACAGGGCTGGGCCACCTTACCTTCTTTTTCTCCCGTTGTCTCCCACTCTGATGTGGTATGTACCGTATATGACAACAAGGTAACACACCCCCTTGACCGATTTTCGAAGCTCGATTTCTACACTGCAGGAACAGTAACAGCGCCGAAAACGGCGGCGTTGAAACCGCCTCGTTCATAGCTTTTCGAAAATGTATC